GAGAGAGAGAGAGAGAGGCGGTAGAGGAGAGGAGGGAGAGAAGGCGAAGCCTTCCTCCCTGGTACCTGGCTATGGCGCTGCAAATGGAAGGCTGGGCCGGTAACTGGCGAGGCGCCCAGTGCTGCGCTAGTCCGCTCTCTGCTGAACCTCGCTCTCTTGCTGCTCCCCGCTGCTGCAGCGCTGTGCTAATCGAGCTAACGCTGGCTGCTGCGCTAATCCTGAAGACTAACCTCGTCCATACTAACCTACCGGACTGAGGCTGGTACCCAGCCTTTTGTAGTGCTGGGCCAGCCTCTTGCCTACTGGTACCTACCGGCCTGGACCGTTGATCTGAATCGACGGTCCAGATTCAAACTGGGTTTGGCGCCAAAATGTGGCAGCCTCTGAAACGCCGCCGGTTGGTCCTGGGCTGGACCGGTACCGGCCTCTGGCCGTTTGGGCCTAAACGTGCCCTGCCTCAGGCCTATCTGGGCCTGGTCTGAACCGTCGTCCCCCTAGGCCTACCCTGCCTACTGGGAACCGGGCCCTAACTGGGGCCCTTGTGGCTCAGTATGCCACAGTGCAGCCCCACCTGGTACTTGCTGACTAGACAAGGTGGACTGGGACTGAGACTGGGACTGGACTGCGCTTTGCTGACTCATCGATGGACGACTGACTCTTACGACTTCGAAAGGTCACGTTGACGACTCTAGAACCTCCTAGGCTGCGACTAACTGACCCTTCACAATACTTAGGGCTAACCTCCCCCTCGCTGACTCAGCTCCCACTGACTTCTAGAAACTCCTAGGCCTAGACTGACTGACTTTTCATAGGACTTAGAGCTAACCTATGCGACCGACCCTAGGAATGCTAAAACAAAGACTCATGGTTCAAGTCCACGTGACCAGACAGGGCACACAGATCGTCGACAGACGACTTTCAGTCAAGTCGAGGGATCAAGGCACGCGGGGTCAACGGGCACTGTACATGGGGATAGGGGTTAGATCTTTGTGACTGTTTTGGGTGGGAAACCGTTCTGTTCCGACACGGAGTGAGGTCTCGAGCAATGGATCGAGCCCTGGGATCTGCAACTGTCACACAAACTGGGTGAAACTGTTTCATTCCCGCCGTCCTAAATTCGAGGTCCTCCGAGAATTCTCTAATCCAAGGCAGGACCTTTACCCTTTCTTGCCCTCTTGTAGGCATGCACTATGTCAGGAGCAGTCTCTATAAGGTCAGTGCTAGTGAAACATCTGTCATCCTTAGGTTCCTGATAAGCAAAACCTAACTTTATATTGCTTCTGGGGACGATCCCGACCTCCGGTCCTGAAGACGTCTTCTTCTACTATGCGATCGATGTCATATGTGCCATCCATATCTGGCGCCGAGACTGGCGGGATCATATATCTCCCTGAAGGAAACTGTTCACTGGTCATACATGGCAACAACTTTGATGCATGGAAGACGGGATATGTATGGAGGTGCTGTGGTATCTCTATAGTGTACAATGGTCCGTCCTCTCCTCCTTTGACTTCTAGGACAGGCCATGGCCCTCTGTACGCGGGCAAGAACTTCTGCGAGATGTTTTGTTCTGGTGCGAATTCCTTTGACTTGGCCCAGACTAGGTCGCCTACCTGAAATTGTAAAGGTCGACGATGCTTGTTTGCTTGTTCAATCATGCGAAGCTGGGCCTTTCTAAGGTTTTTGACCACCATAGCGACTTCCCTTTCGTGCTGCAAAGCAAACTCTCTTGTGCCAGGAGGCAATCTCTGAATCTGGTCCCGGTTTAGTCCTTCAAATGGCCTACGTGGTCTAAAGGACTTATGCAGCTCGTCAGGAGTTCGACAGGTAGCTAGGTGTACACTGTTGTTATGAGCGCTAGCTACCTTGGGAAGCATCTCATCCCAGTTCACTTGATCAGGTCTAATATACATTTTGAGTAGCTGCTGCAATATCTTATTCATCTGCTCTATCTGGCCGTTCGTCTCTGGACGACGACCTTGTGACATCAACAACTTAAGAGTCGTAAACTTTCATAAGCTCATGTCAGTTCTGACTGGTAAACCGAGTGTCTCGGTCACTAACTATGGACAGCGGTATGCCATGCTCGGTTACCCAGAAGTCGAAGAATTTCTCTATCACTAAGCGAGTCCGTGCCTCTGAAGGCAATCGGACGAAAACTGCATATTTGCTAAAACAGTCTACTATGACCATGACTTGGCTTTTGCCTTGCCTCCTCTTGACCCCGTTGTCCATGAAGTCGATGGAAACTGATTCTCCAGATCCTGCGGGAATAGGCAAGGGTCTGAGGAGACCTAGAGGTGCTCGTGTCGTTGTCTTGTTGCGCTGGCAAACTTTACAGCTGCGGATATACTCTATGCATTCTGTTTTCATGTCAGGCCATGTGTACGACATCATGAGGTTGGCCAAAGTCTTTTGCCAGCCAAAGTGTCCTTCTGTATCATGGCATTCCCCTAAGATCAAGCTACAAATCTCTTCACTGTTGGGGACGCATAACCTATCAACGACGTTGTTCTTCTCAAAGAGGAGCTTGTTCGTGGTGTGATAATTAGGCTCACTATCAAGGGCTTGTGTCACTCACTTTGGTAAGTCATTGTAAATCGGATCCTGAGCATACACGTCTTTTGTCTTTTGCTGCAAGACCGCCCCTATGTCCAAACAGTGTACTATCGCGCCGAAGTAATCTGCACTTCTGCTTAGCGCATCGGCTACCACGTTGTACTTGCCTTTAACGGGCTTAAGCTCAAAGTCAAATTGATATATCTCAACAGCCCATCTAGTCAGTTTGGGCATCATCTTGGATTGCGTCTTCAGCCACCTCAGTGTCTCATGGTCTGAATAGACTTTGAAGTGCCTCCCAAGCAGGTAGTGCCCCAATGATCTAAGGGTTGCCTGAGAGCGTAGACTCGTATGTCGAGGCTGCTACCTATTCTGAAGGCAGCTTAGCTGACATGAACTCTACGGGTCGATAACCATTGTCGTCGTCTAGCTGTAATACAGCGCCTATGTCATACTGACTAGCATCCGTTGTGACGACAAATGGTAACGAAGGATCAGCTACTTTGAGGACACAATACTCTACCAAAGCCTTTTTCAACTTCTTCAAGGCCGAGGTGCAATCTTGGTCCCACTTCCAGATTGCTTCCTTCTTTAGGAGTCTGCGAAGGGGAGCAGCGATAGCAGAGAAGTTTCTTACAAACTTCCTGTAGTAGTTGGCCAGTCTTAGAAACGACCGCAACTGAGTCGGCGTGGGAGGAGTTGGCCAGTCTCAAATCGATGTGATTTTGCTGTCCTTCGGTCTAACATCGTCTCCATCTAATATGTGGCCCAAGTAAAGAACTTATGTCTTGGCCCACTCGCACTTCTTCGCATTGATCTTGAAGTTAGTCTCTCGTAACTTCCCCAAGATCTGCCTCAGATGGCCCTCATGTTCCTCGAGGGTTTTGTTGCACGCTAATATATCATCTAGGTAGACTACTACGAACCTATCTAGCCATGGTCTAGACAAGTCGTTCATGCAGCGCTGGAATGTGGCTGGTGCGTTAGTTAGTCCAAAGGGCATCACTACAAACTCATAATGTCTATATATGGTCCAGAACGCCGTCTTGTATTGATTGTGAGGGTGTATGTTTATCTATTGGTATCCCGACTTCAGATCTATCTTCGTGAAGTACTTACAACCTTGCACCTGATTCAATAGGTCATCTATGCGAGGCAATGGTTCTGCATTTTTAACTGTTATGGCATTCAAACTCCTATAGTCTATGCAGATTCTTAACTCTCCCCCTTTCTTTAGGACGAAAAAAACAGATGCGCCAATAGGAGATGAACTAGGTCTGATCCATCCTTTTTCTCGAAGCTCATCTAGTTGCTTGCGTACCTCCTCTAATTCCTTAGGAGACATTATGTAGATTGCCAAAAAAAAAAAAAAAAAAAAAAAAAAAAGATTGCCCCTTTTGGTGTTCTACTGCAAGGCTCAATCTCTATCCGGTGTTGGATGGGCCTTGGCACTACCCCTGAGGATGCCTCCGATAAATCCTTATATTCTTTTAGCAAGTTGGCGATGGTGGGATGGATTTCTCTTTCTCCTTTGGCGTGTCTGTGATTGGCCTAACATAGGCAACAAACACCTATTCCTTGAGTTGCTCCTTCCCGACAAGTCTAGCGAATGCAGGAGTGTTAAGGCAGCAATGTGCCAGAGAGTTGTCAACTCCTAACGCACGGAACAGGCCGGCTTTCTTGGCCCCACCTGACGGACTAGGGAGCCTGCACTCATGCTTCCTCAGGTGCAATGTAGCCCCGACTGCCTCTCCCCAATCAGTTCCAAAAACTATATCAAATGGGAGGTTCTCTTCCACGAGGAGAGTTAGGGAGTGAAGGAATTTCTCTACCTTACCCCCTTGCTCTAGGCGAAAGTACGCCTAGACTCCCTCTACGTATTCCTCGACCCGAATTGTGCGGGTTGTCTTCGAGGATGTTGACTACAAGATCTTTCAATTTTTGGACCTTGAGGCCTAGCCGCAACTTCTTTAGCGCTTTACGACTGATATAACTCCTGGTGGCCCCACTGTCTATAAGGGCCCCTACTCTAGCTCTAAAGACCTCTATATCTGCGATGATTAGCTGCCCCTTTCCTTCCTTCATTTTGGCCTAGGCCAGCCTTCTCTCCTTTAACTCTTCGGCTAGGCCTGTGAGGGAAGCGTCTAGAGAAACTCTAACACAAGCAGTCTCTAGGCAGCTAGCTATATGCTGGCCAGCAACCTCTGCCATAGAGTCACGTGGAGTGGGAGTTTCTACTTTGCGAGCGCGGTCATCTCCATGTGCTCTTGGGGTAGGGGTCGTTGCTACCTCTACCGACAGTTGCCTTTTGCTGCCCCAGATGCAACATGTTCCCTATACTTTGAGCAGAATTTAATGATGTGCCCTAGGTCTCCACAGAACACGCATTGGTATTTGTCTACGCGGTCCTGCCAAACATTCTGCCTTATTCCCAAGGCCTCTCAGGGCCACCCTTACGGCCTTCCTGGGTGCCATCCTCCTCGTCTGGGAGGTGACAGACTGGGATGCGGACGGTTAGATATGGGACATTGACCCCTTCCTCCCGCTTGGCGGTCCTGTCTACCGCCAAGTTTCGCCAACCCCCTGGTCGCCCTGTCCTCGGCCACCTCAAGCCTGACCATTCTTGCCTCGGCCTCGGCCTCCTCTTTGCGGCCTCCCTCCGGCCACGATAGTGTAGTAGGTACTCCCCTTTTCCACCCTACTGTCCTCCTCTTCTTCTAGTAGTCCCCACTCAATAACAGTGTATGGGACTTCCTCTGCACCACCTTCCTCCATTGTTAGAATCAAGCTATCTTTGGCCTTGACCTGGCCAAGGATGGTGCGACCTTTCCACTTTTTCCCCTTTGTTAGATCCTTATGCCAAAAAGTGGTAACTAGCATAGCTTGGGCAGCGAACGCGACAACCTCCCTACTAAGGGTATCATACGTCATTCCGGGTTGTTGCTTCTTAGCAAAGAAATGCCCTTGCACTTGCTCGGGCAACGCGCGGTAAAAGAGTTGGACAAGCTGAGCCTCAGTCACTATGTGTGCTGGTATCGCGATAAGGTCGTCCATGGCGGCCTTTAGAGCATGTACGCTCCACCATTGCTGCGTGTGGATTGTCTGGAGTTTGCCGGACGCCTTTATCCCGCTTGTGGTGTCCGCAAAGCGTTCTCGCAACCTGGCGAGAAAGTCAGTGAGGTAGGTGATGGTGGAGTACTGGATCATGTCATTCTCGCAGTGAGTTGTGCATGCAAGAATTGGGCGAACCTGGTCGCTTCCTCTCTCAGAGCCTGAAAGGCTACTAAGACGTGATCCTCGGGTGCTACGCCCTGCAAGTACATATATGAATGGACGTTGACTTCCCAATTGTCAAAATCTTTCCCCTTCTTTCCACCATATGGCTCAGGAAATTGGACTTTGACCTTTTCGCGGCGGGGTCTGGGCTCTTATTCTTTAGGAGCTGCTATCTTGGCGCCCGTACAAAATTTCTCAGTCTTCCCTATTGCTCTATGGATCTCCCCAACCAAATGGGTCATCATGTCGTGCACAAATTTTCGAAATCCGACTCATACTGACTCGAGCGCGATATCATGGCCGTGAATATGCTTCATTTTTTCTCGTTGGGCGGTCAGTAAAGACTCTTCGCTTTGGGATAGGGTATCAATTTTCTTTCCTATCTCTGTCTCAACCTTGATCTTCCCCATCCTCATCTCTGCCGCCATTTAACTCCTTTTCCACCCTCTCTGCCACCTCTAAGCGCCTTGTTCTCTCTTGTGCTAGTCGCAACTTCCACTCCATATGTTTTTCCTGTTCCTTTGGTTGCCGACGCAAGGGATCTCTTTCTCCCTCCAATTCCCTTGTTACCGCCTCTCTCTCTGCTTGGCGAATCATCAACTCTGCCTCTTTATCTTCCCCCAACGATAAGTTAGCTACCCATTCTTTCACTGCCTTCTCCACCTCTTCTGGTGGAGTCCTACTGGAACTCGCCTCCCCCCTTCTTCGCAACAAAGTTTCTTCTTCAGCCGCTTCCTCTTCCTCTTCTTCTTCTGCTTCTACTGCTGCCAACTTTGCCTCTTGCTCCTCCTTCCATCTTTCCATTTCTTCTTCCATCTGTTTCTTTTTGGCTTATGCCTCCTCCAACAAACTCTCTTCCTGTGCTTGACTATAAGGGGTGGTACTCGTTCCGGTCCTGGTGGTCAGCATGTTGACAGGGCACAATCACTTATGATTCCACTCCTCAACGCGTAGACCAACTTGCTAGACTCCGACTCTCTATAGGACTACAAAGGTCTCCCTTCCGCTTCAGCCAGGTTACTACAGCCGTCGGATGCTTTTGCAACCACAGTCACTGAAACTTTCCACAGCCTTCGGATGCTTTCGCAACCACAGTCACCGAAACCCACCTGGCTTCCATTTCGGGTCGACACTCTGCCAACTACTCGACTCTAGCCTAGGCTAACGCTAGTCTGTCACTACAGAACTAATGGCTGATCAAGAGGGCTTTTAAGGAGATCCCCCAAACTCCTCAAGAATTCTTTAACGTCGCAGACAGGGCGACGATCACAGCCAAAGTCCTCTCAAAACTTATATAGACTGGACACCCGCTCTGCAGCGGAACCAGAGGACAACCGCTGGTTTACACGAACAGAACTTCTAGAGACAGCTCCCAAAGTAGTCCAAGCATACGAAAGAGATAAGAACGCAAACGGTCCTGCCTTAGACTGAAGTATTCTAGGAGGACCTCGAATTTAGGCCGGCGGGAGTGAAATGGTTTTCACCTTTTGCAGTCACAGATGCGGATCCCAGAGTTCGATCCCCAGACCTTCCCTTACCTGTGTACAAGTATCAAGTCGACCTTGTGAGTCTTGAACCCGTTGTCGGGGCAAAAACCCTGACAAGGGTATTTGCCGGGGGTTTTGAACGTCGGACGATGTCCGACTCTTCTTGTTGGATTGAAAGACTTGATAAGACTGACGTTGCTGATGTTATTCTGACCTGACCTATGACTGAAAGATTAAAAAATTTTGAATTCTGGTCTGGGCGTGTGTGACGTTCAGAAGAAGCGGATGTGAATGGCAAGGCTTCACTTTTGTCACGTGTCGCAAGGACGCGCGGAGATGGGAACGTTAAAATTAAACATATTCCACCTATAATGAGGTAACAGACGCGCGATTCAGGGCCTGCTAAGCGCTGGGTGGGGGGACTGTTGGGCTGATGCTCTTCAAATAAAAGGGCAGCTCTTCTCCTTATGTGAGAAGGAACTAGCCAGTAGGTACCGCCGCGAGACTATCACCCTGTGGATTCAAGGATCGAGCCCGACGACCTGTGACTGGACTAGCTCCTTTTGATAGGAGCGGCCCAACTCCTTGATGTGACGCGGTCAATTTCGACCTCGCGATCTACCAGATCGTGCGGCCAAAATCGGCCGCGTGGATTGACATG